CAAAACTCAAGACAGGAAAGGTATTTGATCTGCAGGATGTAATTTAGGAGGAGGAAAAATACTTTTTTCAAAACGATAGAGCCTCAAGCCCTCTACAATGACCACTTTTTCCCTTGTTCATTTAATGTTTTAGCTTTCTGTTCTCACTACAAGCTTTTCACATTTAGCTTAGAAGGGTAGGAAGTAGCCCTGACAAGACCTTCCTCTTCCCTCAGCAGTATGTGCTTGGATGGAGAACTAAGGAGAAGAAATTGATAGTGCGATGGGCTCTCTGGGAAGGTAGCTATCACAGAGAAGTCAAAGGGGAGGAGGGGTTGGGGAGATTATTATTACCATGGAAGATACCTGCCTTTAATCCAGGCAGTCATAGCACTTTTTTTTTTTAATCATAGTACATTTCCATGTAAGCGTAGATATAAAGTTTCGAGGTCTTTATAAATATCAGGCATTTGTGTTAACATTATAAAAGGTGAATTTTGGGATATGCATAAAATAAGGTTATCTACTGACACACACAGCACAAAAACACAAACCAAAATACTGTAATCCCATAATTTGGGGGTTGGGGAAGAGGATATTTCAGTACCTTTTAACTACTACCAGCACCAAAAAACAAGGATGTGGCATTTCAGCTTAGTCATCTCTTTAAAGAAATCCTGTTCTAACTGTATACAACTCCAGAGCTAAGATACAAATACATGTTCTGCTCATCTTCTTTGGACCCCGGAATACAATGTATTTGGGGGGAAAAACTGAAAAGGCATTCAGTGCTTATCATACTTAACATCAGTGTATCATGTGGTACTGATGCTTACTTGTTTCTTTTTGACTCTGCTTTTGATTCCAAGATGCTGTTTTCCTTTGGTTCTCTCCTACTCCTCTGTTTGATCCCTTCCAGTCTCCTTTGTTCACTCTAATTCCTTTGTTAACCAATGATGGTGTTGTTAAGAATTTCATACTTTGTCTCCTCTTACTCTCTGGAGAGTGTAAGAGAACCAACATTCTCTCTGACTAATATCATCTCTTATTTTGCATTCAACTACTTTCTATTATCTATATTTTAAAATGCCCAGACTTCTGACCTAAGATCCAGATATTTTTAACCAACTGACTACTGGACATGACAGCAGCTTTTAAATTGCCTTCTCTGCCCTGGCCTTTCCAATTTTCAATCCCTGCTTCACACTTCTGTCAGTGATTTGACCATGTCTCTGGCCTACTTAGAAATTTTCAATGATTCCCCACTGCTTTTAGAATTAAAAAGTCTAAAGTCCTTGGTCTGATATACAAGGGACTTCAATATCTAGTCCAATCCCATTTCTCCAAAAGAAACTGTGGACCTCTAAACAAATCCTGCTTGCTCCTGTGCTTTTGAATAGGTTGTTACATATTTTTGGAAAACACTACCTACCATACCTGTTATGGGATTAATTATGAGGTTAATTATGCATGTTTCAAAACTAGCTCAGTTGGCAATTCAATTCAGTATTTATTAAGGACATTTTATATGTAGACACTAGGTTCCCGCAGTCATGGAGTTCACATTCGTGTGTCTCTCTCTCTCTCCAGTGAGAGTGGGGAAGCAAACAAATAAACAGGAAACTAGTGAGGACTGATAAAGCTTATGATTAAAATGAAACAAGATGATGACAGTGACTAGGGAAATAGGGGGGATTTCCTAGATTGGATGGCTAAAGACTTCTTGAAAGAAGGGATATTTAACCTGAGGTCTCCTCTTGGAAGCTAGCTCTACCTTTCCTCCAACAATTTATGTCTATCAAAGCATTCTACATTTTCTTTTTTTTTTTTTGGTGGCTGGCCAGTATGAGGATCTGAACCCTTGATCTTGGTGCTACCAACAGCATGCTCTAACCAACTAAGCTAACCAGCCAGCCCATACTATTTTTAATTTATTGGTTTTTACCTGTGTATTTCTTTCCTACTACACATACATATTTCTTGAGGGAAAGAATTCAGTCTTTTCACTTTGCATCACCCTCTCCTAACACATAGCCTGGAATATAGATAATGTTGAAAACAGCTGCTAAATAAATAATGAATTAATGAAATAAACTGGCTCTCTAACAATGGAGTCAAAAAGGGAAGAGTTAGACAACATGAGAGTTTTCAGGACCAAAGAACACTTAAATTCAGACATATAACAGCTAATGGCCCCAAATTCCACCCCACACACCCCAACTTCAAGAGGGAGAAAACAGATGACAGAGATCATCCAAGCAATTTGACAGAATGTCTGAATCTACTCCTGTCCTCCCCAAATGCTTCTTACGCCTTCATTCTGGCTGTTGTTGGTCTCTGTTTTCTCCACTCCCACAGGTTATTTCAACTTTTTCAGATACTTGATTCCTGGTTCTCTGCTTTTTTCCCCCAAAGCCTGACTTTAGCCTAAATTTGGCTTCTAGATTTAACCACAGCTAATGGAATCTTAGCAATTTTTCTTTGGTAATCACAAGATAATGGAGGGACTTGTTTTTCCCTGTTGTAAGGTTTCAGTTTTGTGTTCTGGTTTATACAAACTAAGAATGACTCTGAGTTATCATACCCAGTCACATCAATGAATCCTGTTCTAAAATTTGGGGTTTCTCTATGCATAGTGTGACAATATAATTTGCTGTCAAAACAGGGAATCTCTTTAAGAATGCTTAAAATAGGGCCGAGCCCGTGGCGCACTCGGGAGAGTGTGGCGCTGGGAGCGCAGCAGCGCTCCCGCCACGGGTTCGGATCCTATATAGGGATGGCCGGTGCGCTCACTGGCTGAGCGCGGTGCGGCCGGTCTCAAAAAGGACCAAAAAAAAAAAAAAAAAAAAGAATGCTTAAGATAATTCCAGACAACACTGTAAACCAGGTTTTGTGGTTACCCTCTGTATCCAGCAGTTTCCTAAAGAGCCTTATCTGCAACAATGACTTCTTGCTTGATTTTCTGCTGGCTTGGCCAGGCTGTTCCTTGCTTTGTAACTTCCACTTTGGCTTCATATTTGACCCTTTCAATGCTAAAAGAACTTTCCAGGATTTGTCAGTACTTTGTGTAAAGATTCATATGAAGAAACTCCTAATAAGGGTAATAATAAATAGAGCTAACATTTACAAACCTCTTATAATAAGACAGGCATTATGATTAGCCTTTATATGGTTTAATGAATTCTTTTCATAACCTAGTAAAATTTCCTCCATTTTAGAGATAAAAGAAACTGAGGTTTAAAGAGGTTAATTTACCTAAGGGAAATAGTAAATAAGCTCTGCACTAGTACACACAGAGCTTATACTTAAACCCAGATCTGTCTGCCTGAAAGTGTTCTTGTTCTTAAATATTATAATAAATATATTACCCCTCTCTGTAAAAGTCTTTTAACAGAAAAATCATCAATCATTCTGAATAAACTATCTAATGTTTCTTAAGCCTTATATTTACTTTTTTAACAACTATACTAATATTATTAACATAACACCCTGACTAATGGGTCTCCAAAAGTTTGGAGTTGTGCATCTCAAAAATAAAAAATTTTGAGTATTTACTCCTCAATAAATGTATGTTTAGAAATTACGTATGTGTACCAATGTAATACTAGATTGTATACACCATATTACAGAAGTATGAAATACTCCAAAATAGAAATATGAAATTAAAAGTAAACATGTCTTAATATTTTTCCTCCATCCCAAAGGTTTATCTTAATCACGTCCTAAGAGACCATTCTGGAAACTCATTATCTAAAATAATGCATCTCAAATGTTACCGTGCACACGAATCAGCTGGAAATCTTGTTTTTAATGTAGATTCTGATTCAGTATGCTTGGGATAGGCCTATGAATACGTATTTCTAACAGGCTCCCAAATGATGTTAATGCTCCTCACTCATGGATACACATGGAGTAACAAGAATTTAAACAAGAGAGTAATGTTTAGCCAAACATATGCTGCTATTTTCTGGAGGTGAAATAAATAGTTGATTCTGAAGTCAACTTTCCATTACCATGGGCAAAACTGAAAAAAACGACTTTTTTTTTTTCCTTTTTGTCTATTTTAACTGACCGGTAACGGGATCGCAACCCTCGGTGTCGCACCCGTACCGGGGACCAGCAACGGGATCGCAACCGTTGGTGTTGCGCCCGCACCGCGCTCAGCCAGTGAGCGGGAACCGGTCTCCACATGGGATCCGAACCCTCGGCGGGAGTGCCACCGCGCTCCCAAGCGGCGCACTCACCAGTGCGCCACCGGGCCGGCCCAAAAAACGACTTTTTAAACCATACAACTATACACATTAACCATAACATCAAAGACTATATCTGAAATGCAGATAATCATCATAATTTAACTAAACTGAGAGTATCATAAAAAAACTTATCTGATATTTATGAGAGTTTCATAAAAACAACATCTGATACTTAGTCTCATAAAAAAACATACTCGGCTAAACTGTATCATAAGGAAACAGATTTTGCTTTCATACACTTCTTTTCTATCATGAAAGACAATGGTGAATGCAAATTAAGAAAATAAAGTAAGTATAAAGGACAAAACTAATTAAAACATGTATTATAATCTGCTTCCTCCATGAAATCAGTAGGCAGGAAACCTGTGGTTAACTATTATTGGTTAATATTTATATCTATGTTAACAGAATTACAGCAATCTGTTTGTTGGGTTCTTCTTTTTTTTTTTTTAAGTTTCTAAATAAATGCAAAGTGAGAATGTCCAAAGTATACTATTTTTAAACCCTATCTTAAATATACACAGCTTTAAAATATCTAAACAGTTTAAATGTACATGATTCATGCATGAAACTCAAGCAAATTCAGAATATAAAGCAAAATCAAATCAGAAAGCATTTTGCTCTTATCGTTAGACTTGCAACTCCCTAACAAAATTCTGAAGTTCCAATACTTTAGGAGAACATTTCACGTTGACTCTCCAATCACTTCCAACAGTCAAATACACCACAAAATAACTAACACATCATACTCAAATTTCGATTATTTACCTTGTCAATCATTTTTCTTGCTTCCACTTCCTCACTGTTGGGATTCTCTAACTCAATGGTATAAGTACCCTTGTCACTTTGATCATCATCATTATCCTTTTCAGAAGTAGAAGTAGTTTGATTTTTTAACATTTTATCCATCTCCTGGCTTGGTCTGTGCCCAAGACTCCCTGAACTTCTTAATAATGCTGTTTGTAGGAAGGGTATTGACATCGATGGCTCCTCTGATTTCTGTTTTAACAATTTCCCATGTAGAACACCATGCCCCCCTCTGTGATGCGCAGAGCTAGTCTGTAAAGACAAAGAAACCACCTTGGCATCTGCTGTTGGAGATTTTGCTTTTTCAGGTTTTGTATGTGGTGTTGAATAAGTAGTTTCCTGACACAAGAAGTTTCCCCACACTTTGAGTAAAAGAATATGACCTTCTTTTTCTGGGACTGTCTTCATCAAAGAATGCAATCATAAAAGCAGTTTGACTTACAACAGCTTGGTCTTGATGCTTTTCAGTAGCCTGGGCCTTCTGTAGCTTTTTCTGTTCTGAATGGTGGCGCCTCAAGTGCTCCTCAAGAGTTGCACGTTTGCTACAGCGCCTGTGAGCCCCAGCGTTCTCCGAATCGCTCTGTGTCCCATCATCATGTTTATTTCCTGGGCACACACACAAAAAAACCGCATAATAGAGAAAGAAAAAATCCCATGTAGAAAATTAGAAGCACATACAAAAGTGTCATTTGTTTTGTCTCTCTCTCCCTTTTCAATCCAAAGTCATATGTTCTTTTCAGTAACAGGCTCTGCAAACTTCTCTCAATTGCAATGGATACATTCAAATTTTATCAACCAACAATGAGGTCCTTTATAAACAACTGAATAGGATTGCTTTTCTCCACATTTTAACTTTATAATGATTCATCGATTTCTTAACAGATAAATAAATGATGCTCTATCATCTGTGATGGTTTGTATTCATAATATCAATAAACATTAATTCTGTCTTCAAACCTTACACTTTATTTAACAATCAAAAATTTGACTCTAGCATTAGAAAGAAAGAAAACAAGAAAAAGGGTGATATTACGGAAATACTGCTACGCAGGAAAATAGAACACAAATACCATAAAAATATGATGAATCTTAATTTTTGGTGATGTTCAATACTTTCAAAAGTTCAACACACCTTTCCTTTTTAATATAAAGATTCAAATTTGTAGATTCCACTAATTACTGCAGAATTTTTTCCAAATGACTTTGTAGCCACGAGAATTTCTGAAAATTTCATTTATGCTTTAAACTCTGGTGGCTTCAAAGAGCTAAATAAAGCATGCTAACGGTCATATCAAGGAAAAGAGTAGCCTATGAAATCCCTACATAAATCTAAAGCACCTACTGGGCAAACAGCATGGTGCTAAATATAATCAGATGTCTCTTCCATAAAGCACATAGAGTCAAGTTAAAATATATTTGAATTTCAAAACATCTACTTCCTAACAAAGGTTTTTCTATATTGGAGCAAATAAAAATCACTATGTAGTTACCCTTCATAGTTCTGTTAGGAATTGGATGTGACATTATGAAAATTACTTGATTTTTCACTGATTTAGAATAATAATTACACTAGAAAAAATAGTCAAATAATTATTATATTATTATAGCATGAAATTGTTAAAAAGTCAAGAGTTATTCTATGCATGTTTTAGATGGAATCACAAATCGGGACTTAAATCAGGGCTTCCTCAGAAGCTATAAATGAATCTAGTCAACCAGATATATTCTGATGCTACCAGGACTAAATCTGACTTCCCCTGCACTACAAATTTTAATGTGAACCCCTCCTGAATAATATGGGACTGAAAAAGATAATAATCAAAAATGAAAGACTTGGGGGGTGGAAGGAGCAAAAGACATATGTCTAGGGAAAAAGTTGAGTTTTAATGCTCATAGGTCTGTTCCTAATGAATTTAGAGGTTACAAACTGGTGCTAATAATTTAACACAAGAGGACTGGCTATAAAAATGTGGTACATAAAAGGAGTGAGAAGATTCAGAAGACAGAATGTCAGACAACACAGAAAAGGGTGACATTTTGGAAAAGTAATACGCAAGGGAGTGAATAATACTAAATGAAGGGGTTTGGGAGACCATTACCACCAAAATGATATTAATACTTATAAAATAATCAATATCATAAAAATCAGATACAACAACAAATCTGAAAATCTTCAAATTGTTAACTATTCAAAAAGTAAAAGTAAAAAGAAAAAGATAATTAATTAATGGAAACCCTGCCTCAGGTAATTAAGTTAGGAATCATGGATAGCAGATAGAAAGCAAAACCCAAACAAAACCACTAATTCAAATACAAAATTCATAAAAGAGATGGCATTTTACAACCTATTTCATGTTGAACTGAATATATTCAAAAGGAATCCAGTTTGTAAGAGCTGGAAAAAAACTGAACTTTAACATTTCCTTAATAGTAAGAACAAATGACCCATATCACATACATAATCACAAATTTTAATGAAATACCATCTTTTACAGAATTTAATTCTTGTCCTAACATAAAATTTGGCACTTAGTGGTGTCAGGCCCTTTCAAGTTTCTTTCCTATAACTTCTAGTTTAACCTCTTATAGATTAGCCATTCTTTTTTAGAAAATTATTATCCCTTCTTGTATTTGTCAGTGTTACACAAAGTGGGACATCTTGGATCTGAGCTGCAATTTTCTGTTTTTCCTCAACAAAAACATCACTAGGAAACTCTCCTCACCAAGTTTCTTTCTTTCTCTTTTGCGTACTATTAACCATGCCTAAATATGTCAAAGTTCTTTTAATATTTTTTAGGGTAGGTTAGCTGTACCAAGTCAGTAGCTGTGGCCAAAAGAAGTTGCAACTCTCCTAAAGGGTAAAAGTGTATGGGCTTTGTGAACATTATTTTCCTCACTGTCCCAAAGCGCGTGCACTTTACTCTTGTAGGAGCAAGGATTTTGTTTTGTTTTGTTTTGCCTACTTTCAATTTTTTGATCTAAACAGTTGCTGAAAGTCTAATTTTAATAAGATTGTTACTGCTATAATTACATTTATTTAGAGTCTGGGCACATACTTTTGATATCCTCAATTGTGAAAAATTGTTATCTAATGATGGTAGCTCTGACTTTTGAGAAAGTCAAATGTCATTCATAATTATGTCCAGAGAAGTAAAATAAAATCTATCTTGGATCAAAAATTAGTTACTTTCACAACAACATTTTCTTAGATGGCTTGTAAAATGGTCTAAAGGAAAATCCAAACAAAAGAAAGGCTCGAAGCAATGGTACCATATTGAAATATATCTCTACGTATAAATCAACTTTGAAGGACAATAGTAATTTGATTATACAATTTCTGGTAAAGTTTTTTAAATATCTAATCATTAAAGTATAGATACAGTGTGCATGTAGACATTAATGTCTCTATTCAGAATTAGGCTCACAGGGCCGGCCTGTGGCTCACTCGGGAGAGTGCGGTGCTGATAACACCAAGGCCCCGGGTTCGAATCCCATATAGGGATGGCCGGTTCGCTCACTGGCTGAGCGTGGTGCTGACAACACCAAGTCAAGGGTTAAGATCCCCTTACCGGTCATCTTTAAAAAAAAAAAAAAAAGAATTAGGCTCACAAATGGGCCTTGTTCAAGAGCAGAGAATGTCTTGAAAGGATGACTTAAAGATTACTGCTATTATAGAAAACAGATAATGACTAAAAGTTACAATATAAAAGGGTTTAATAAAGGTATTTTTAAAATTATATCTCTTAAAAGGATCTTTTAGTTCATTTTTTGTATATTTGTTAAGAGTGGTTTAAAAAAAGACATTTTTAAATTTTCAAGGTTCATACTGCCTTTCGTATTATACTAGGATATCAATATTATTTATCCAATTCATATAAATGGTCAGTTTACAAATGAGCATCTTTCATTTGTGAGCTTTAACCTATATATACGTATACAGGTCTCAATTATGTATTAATATTGTCTAATAAAAGATCATGATTACATCTCAAAAGTATATATGCCTGGTAACTGCTGATGACTATAATTAAATATTGTAATAGGCCCCAACAAAGAATTTGGTAATCACATCGACTCACTATCCTGAAATGTCTTAGAAGCAAACCAGAAATAATTATAAGACTACTATTTCTTCATTACTTGATTAGAATCCCAGGGCATAAGGTATGAGTTAAGCCAGGATCAGTCTTGTCAGTGACAGTGAAGTCATTCATTGTTTACTCTAATTACTGAGTACCTGTCACATGCTCAAGTCCCCTATGAAGTATTGGGGATACAAAGTAAATAATATATGGTCTCTGACCTAAAAGAACATTTTTATAAAGCCCATTAATTCCTAATATAGTGACAGATGGTCAGATTATCATGCAATCGCAATCTGTTCAAAATCACTTCCTTGATAGATACCTGTCCAATAAAAATAAGGAGAGCAACACAAATCGGTATTCTATTAATTACAAAATAAACTGGTAAAACTTATGGTAAAAAAACTGATCAGCTGATACCTCCAGGTACAGGTATAAAGATTTTACTAATTTTGGTCAAGTGCTATACTAATAAAGCATATATAATAACTATTTCACAAATGAACATCCAACTATGATAATGATAAAGTCTTAATACTGAAACATTTTTAAATTAAATCAATAAATTCCTAGTAAATATTTCTAAACCAAAAATCTTTGCTTAATGAGTAAATGCTGAGAATGGTCTTAAGCAAACCATCAACAATGTGACTATATTACCCAAGTGGAACTTTTGGCCCATACATGGCTGAAAATGTCTTTCAAAATCTAGATACTGACATTTTACTAAAAGTATAACAGAGAGTAGAACTGAAACTATCTTCTCCTTGAATCAAGAAAATGATAGGAATTGTCTTCTAGGGAATTCCACTGGTGAACTGAATAAACTTCATATTTCCACAAGAAAAAGAAATGTATTTAGTGGTAAATATAAATTCACAAAACCAATGTGGTTTTAGCAAGAAAATGAAAAAAGACTATTTTAAATGAGTAAGGTGGGCATGGGCAATGTGGCTTGCTTTTGTGCTTTAAAATTAAATGTAAACTTTGAAAAAGTAGATGCTTTCTATCATATAATTATCTAACAGTAGTTTGGTAACTGTGAGGGCTGAATTTTCTTTATCATAGAATAGGAAGTTCTGAAATGATCAATTCACTTTACCTTTTAACCTTTTCAAGTACACTGGAACATCACTTTTAATACTTTTGCAATCCTCTTCTGTTCTTTCCCATACCATTTGTGGAGGGTTGTTCTGTGCTAGCCAGTCAGCGACTTTGTTTTCTGGTGCCATCATTCCTGTTTGAATCCCCGGCAAGTCTTGAGTTCCAGGAGAAGACTTCTTTGATTTGTGGCGCTGATCAGAAGTAAATTTTGTCACATGGTCTCTAATAGTTACCTTCCCTGGGGTACTGTCATCAAATTCAATGGTAAATGAAGCATGCCCTGCACCTGCTGTATGGGAACTTGGTGTGTCTTTTGTTGGGATTTCATGAATAGTGCTCTCTGTTATTTGTGATGGTGGCTGAAATTCTTTTGTAGGGATTTCAAAATAACTTGGTTCCCTACAGAAAGGAAAAAGTACTTCTTCATTTGCAGCTGCAGATTGTTCATCAACTTGCTTGGCATCTATGCTGCACCCTAATGAGAAAAATAAGAGAAAATTCAAAATATTTGGGAGCTTCTTGAGGGAGTTTGATAACGGCCATTTGTATTAATCCATGAGAATTAGAAGGCAGACCACAGTCTGGATGAAAAATAAAGATTTTTATGTTATAGGAAAAATGTTACAGAGAATAAAGAATCTTGATTATAAACATGACATTCAATTCCAATAGGAGATGCAAGATAAGCAGTGGCAATGGACAGGACAGGAAAGCAGTTAAGAGATGGGTGCATGGCTAGGTCCATACTTTTCCCAACTTGGATCTAGAAATCATCAAGGTGTAAAAGAACTGAAATCAAATGCAGATGGAGATGCATGTTCAATGTATATATCTACAGTGAAAGAAAAAGCATGAATTTCCTTATCAAGGCAGCAGGATGAAATATCTATAAATGCACGTAGAGCTCCCAAGGAGAACAGGTGCTCAAATGAGTATATGAACATGAAGTAAACATGTGAGCACTGTTCTAGAAGTCATGATTCCACTTACCATTCTTCACCAGTACTTTTAGAATGACACAAATAATATTACTGATGTGTAATCCTTGCAAGTAGATAGATACATTTTATGAAGACTAAAAGAGTGGTTAAAGATAAAACATGCAGTTTGCTTGCAGCACTGCAATCCAAGCAGCAGTGTAAAAGAAATAAGGTAAAAATAGAAAATTCAGTTGACAGCCAATAACTCCGGAAGAAAATTAGTTTACATTTCTATATAGCAGAATGTGCAGAAGAGTCAAAAATCCTTGGAGGAAAGCTGAATTGTAAACCTCAGATTAACAACAAGAGTTGGCAGAAGGAGCAAGCAACTCTGGAACACTATCACTATTCTTCTGTTGCCTCAGAAATGAATATGAAGGCATAAAAATAGACACGTTTGTAAATAAAATAGATAAAGGCATATATAAATGAAAAGGACAACTAAAATGCTTTATTTTAAGTATGTTATTAGAAAATGCAAATGTAAAAGAAAGAAATTAAATATGAAATGGTTAATGGACACAAAACAGCTAGATAGGAAAAAAAAAGTTCTATAGGTGCACAGTCGAAATACACAACTATAATTAACAATAATTTATTGCACGTTATCAACTATAATTAACAATAATTTATTGCATGTTATCAAACAGCTAGAAGAGACTGAATGTCCCCATCACAAAGAAATGATTGTTTTGTAATTATGAAAATGCTATTACCTTGATTTGATCATCACACATTTTATACACATATTGAAATATAACTCTGAATCTCACAAATATGTATAACCAATGTTTCAATAAAAAAATGATAAAATAAAAAAATAAATGAACTACCCTGTTGTTGAGGAAGCAAAAGAACCGTGTCTATCATCAAGATGGTGAAGAGTGAGTTCAAATGAAATTTCCCTAAAGCTCAAAAATTTAAATAGACTGATAGAAAAGTCATTTACTGACAATTTATTAGGAGGAAAAGGCAATACACAGAGACTAGGTTGTTTACAATAATTTTCTAATTAAGTTAAGTATTTGATCTTTTGAAACATCTTTTCAAATATTAGATCTTCGGATTCATCAGGTGCTATCACTGATTTCATAAGCGTACTCTGAATACGAAATAATCATAAAACTGTCCCCCTTTAGGTTACAGAAGAACGGGACAATAATATCCCTGTAATCAAATGTGTAGGACATGGTATAGAAGACATCAAGCTCCATTTCCACAAAACAGTAATAATAATAATAATAATAATAATAATAATAATAATAATAATAATAATAATAATAATAATAATAATAATAATAATAAACTGTCAAAATAAATCTAAACTGAAGGCAAAGAAAATACCTAACAACAATTTTCAACATAAAAATTAGCCTTTTTAGGGCCGGCCCGGTGGCGCACTGCTATAGTGCGCCGCTTGGGAAGCGTGGCGGCGCTCCCGCCGAGGGTTCGGATCCCACATACAGACCAGTTCCCGCTCACTGGCTGAGCGAGGTGCGGGAGCAACACCGAGGGTTACGATCCCGTT